TGCCGTTGCAGGCATTGGGTTGATCATGCTCAAATATGGACATTCCCCAAAATAGCGACGAATCGCATGGTCCTCCATAAACTACGCCACTTTCGTGAATTGTCCTATCACCTATTATGATACGTGAATGTATTCAAATAATCATATTGATCAAGACAATACCATAGGTAAAGGTGTTGACCGCTTGGTAGTGACCAACCGTTATGTTAGTGATCGACACGCGCTGGGATTGGTGTGCGATAAATGACACGTCATTTGTGTGAGCAGTCAGTCCATTGCAAGTGATGGCGGCTGTCGTGTGACCCGAGGTTAGGACAGACGATATGTTTAGAGCGCTGTTCGCACTGCTATTACACACAAACCGATTGTTGTATGTGATAGTGGTGTTGACAATGGGGGTTAGGGCTAGGATTTAATGTATTCATCGATCAATCATTAATATTAAACGTTAATCAATTAAATCAGTATTATATTATAATCAATAGCTAGGCTGACCAGACGATCAACTTTAGGCTGGATTGTCCAATTTTGACGCTCATTGTAACGGGTCCAGCTCATCATGAAACCTGGACAATTTACCCGTTATTTCTTAAATCAGCTAGTTTAAAAACGAGCGTTTATTCAAAGCTTTATATTGTGCTAATAATCAAATTGAATAGATAATACGTGTTTTAGATAATTTAAATTATATTTTCTTAAAAGTTTACATAATAAAGATTAGAAAATTAAAAAAGGTTAAGTAACGGCTAAATTTAAATAACTTAGTTATATATTTGGGTACTGGTTACATTGGTTAGTTTAAAAGGCTGTCCAGCTTTTGTCAAGCTTTTGGGAAAAACAATTTATGGACAAAAAGCTTTTCTAAAAAATAATCTGGTCATTCTATCAATATCATGAGTTAGTCCCGTAAATCCAGTTATAAACACATTGACATAGTGATTTTACACATAGAAATAGCATTATTTCTATGGACGGAACTTCATGAACACTCTAACGGCAATGAACCGTCAAATTACAAACAAAGTGTCGTTGGGTTTACGGAAAATATGTGCGTATAATTCATATTTAAAAGTACTAAATATAATGTTATAGAAATAATGTTATTCTTATGTTTAAAATAACTATGTCAGTATGTTTATAACTGGATTTATGGGACTAGCTCATGATATTCGCCGATTTTGAACAATTCAATTTGTCGATAGGGACATATAGTTTGTTTTAATACACATTCTAATTGCACAATTTACTGACAGGACACGATGTTCCCTTGAATCAATGTGTAAACCCATGAACAATGTAACCAATCAAATTTTCCGACAGGTCGAAAACAGTTCGAAAACCCTTTTTGTTAAATACCTGTTTTTCGAAAAGATTTTTTATTAGACCAGTAAGATGCTATAGTATAGATGGGAAAAGCTATTGTTAAGTTTAGTTCAAATATACTGGTGACAAATTTATATGCCACCATATTTCATAAGAATTTTTACTCAAAACTCACCGACATTTGTGATTGTCACTGGTGTATCTGGTGATGGCGTATCTGAATTAATTAAATTAAAACATTTAATATTAAAACATTTTTATTTCTACTGCCGACAGAATATAATTACAACTTCTCATTAGAGTCGCAAAGTAACCTTCCCGTGCGAGTTCAGCCCAGGACTCCCAAATCAAAAAGCTCATAAACGGGAGCTTTCAATAGTTTATTTATAAACTCCCGGCAGATTTCCGGGAGATGTTCATTAAGGCATTTTACAAAATTTTTAATACATTTTTAATCATACATTGAATTATAAGACATTTACTGCTTTTCTTATGGATATTGTTTTTCAAAACATTCGGAGGTTTATGGGCTCCCGTTGCGGCCCGTCAATTAAGCCGGACTAAATATCCCTGGCTACCTATTTGGAGCTGCGCGATTACAAATTATAATGAGGTCGGGTCGGGTCGGGCATCAAAAATTCATTGAATTTCTGTGGCTATCCATCTCATAGATTCAGTCATTTGTAAGATTTACTATTTAATTCTCTTTTAAGTTTGAATATATTTATAGAAATACATTTATAACTTACAAATGACTTGTCTTATAATGATGCTCAAATTATATTCTGGGATCAGATACTAATTGAGATATAATTTAATTGATTAAAATATAAAATTACTCAATACATACCAGCATTTGTAACTGCATCATTTGTAATTGTCATTGTAGTTGCTGTAAAATATATTTATTTAGAATATTTTTACAACATTTTTATTATGTCCGACAGAATAAAATTTAAGAAACATTTTAATTAATAAATACATACAATCGCTTGTACCATCTGGATCACTTGCAACGGTAAAATTGGCATCACTTGACTTGGCACAATATATTAAAGCAAATGATATAAGTATTGATAACTTGTACATTATTAATAACAGAGTAAAATTAATTTATTTATTTTTAATTTATTATTATTTTATAAACTGTAAAAATATGTTAAAATNTAGTCCCGTAAATCCAGTTATAAACACATTGACATAGTGATTTTACACATAGAAATAGCATTATTTCTATGGACGGAACTTCATGAACACTCTAACGGCAATGAACCGTCAAATTACAAACAAAGTGTCGTTGGGTTTACGGAAAATATGTGCGTATAATTCATATTTAAAAGTACTAAATATAATGTTATAGAAATAATGTTATTCTTATGTTTAAAATAACTATGTCAGTATGTTTATAACTGGATTTATGGGACTAGCTCATGATATTCGCCGATTTTGAACAATTCAATTTGTCGATAGGGACATATAGTTTGTTTTAATACACATTCTAATTGCACAATTTACTGACAGGACACGATGTTCCCAACTTAGTTACACATTTGGGTACTTGTTACATTGGTTAGTTTAAAAGGCTGTCCAGCTTTTGTCAAGCTTTTGGGAAAAACAATTTATGGACAAAAAGCTTTTCTAAAAAATAATCTGGTCATTCTAGCTATAGTATAGATGGGAAAAGCTATTGTTAAATTTAGTTCAAATATACTAGTGACAAATTTATATGCCACCATATTTCATAAGAATTTTTACTCAAAACTCACCGACATTTGTGATTGTCACTGGTGCATCTAGTGATGGCGTATCTGAATTAATTAAATTAAAACATTTAATATTAAAACATTTTTATTTCTACTGCCGACAGAATATAATTACAACTTCTCATTAGAGTCGCAAAGTAACCTTCCCGTGCGAGTTCAGCCCAGGACTCCCAAATCAAAAAGCTCATAAACGGGAGCTTTCAATAGTTTATTTATAAACTCCCGGCAGATTTCCGGGAGATGTTCATTAAGGCATTTTACAAAATTTTTAATACATTTTTAATCATACATTGAATTATAAGACATTTACTGCTTTTCTTATGGATATTGTTTTTCAAAACATTCGGAGGTTTATGGGCTCCCGTTGCGGCCCGTCAATTAAGCCGGACTAAATATCCCTGGCTACCTATTTGGAGCTGCGCGATTACAAATTATAATGAGGTCGGGTCGGGTCGGGCATCAAAAATTCATTGAATTTCTGTGGCTATCCATCTCATAGATTCAGTCATTTGTAAGATTTACTATTTAATTCTCTTTTAAGTTTGAATATATTTATAGAAATACATTTATAACTTACAAATGACTTGTCTTATAATGATGCTCAAATTATATTCTGGGATCAGATACTAATTGAGATATAATTTAATTGATTAAAATATAAAATTACTCAATACATACCAGCATTTGTAACTGCATCATTTGTAATTGTCATTGTAGTTGCTGTAAAATATATTTATTTAGAATATTTTTACAACATTTTTATTATGTCCGACAGAATAAAATTTAAGAAACATTTTAATTAATAAATACATACAATCGCTTGTACCATCTGGATCACTTGCAACGGTAAAATTGGCATCACTTGACTTGGCACAATATATTAAAGCAAATGATATAAGTATTGATAACTTGTACATTATTAATAACAGAGTAAAATTAATTTATTTATTTTTAATTTATTATTATTTTATAAACTGTAAAAATATGTTAAAATATAATTAATACTTATATTTATGATAATTTTATGTCTGTTTCACGTAATATTGTGTATTAAATACTACTTTATCCTATACATAAAAATGCAAACTAATTACCATCAATGTACGTTTACAATTCTAGATCCAAGTGGGGAACATCGTGACTTGTCAGTAAATTGTACAGGTATAATCTGTATTAATGTAAACTAGAAACCATATTGACAAATTGAATTGATCAAATTAGGCGAATACCATTAACTAATCCAGTTATATACATATTGAAATACTGATTTTGCACATGAAATAACATATAATAGCACATATAATAACACACATACATGAATATATTCAGTACTTTTTTATATGAATTTATAGGCAAATATTTTCCGTGAACCAAACGACACTTTGTTTGTAATCTGACTGTTTATTGCCGTCAAAGTGTTTATAAAACGTATACATATAAAAGGTGACTAAATTTATCTAAAATTCAAGTTGTAACTTGTTTACAAGTTTTAATACAAGAATTATCAATTTATAAATGCTTTTGACTTAAAACTTGAAAACTATTTTATCGCCATTAATAGGGACGTCATGTAAATCCCTGAGGTTTGCGAGCCCTCTTGGTTACACCAATAATTCATTATACAATAAATAATTTTTTTATTATTAGAATCATTCTGCAATTGTTAGACAATTCAAATTATGCTTGGTAATGATATTTTTAAATTTGAGAACATTCTAGAATAATGATAATTCTATTTTCAAATAAGATTTGCGGATAAGAATGTACCTTTATCATTATCATTATTAAACATGATTATTGCAGGTTAATGATTAAAGCATCCAAATCCAGTTATTTAACTTTTATTGTTATCTCGGAGAACTTAATGAGCTTATGTTACGATTAATGTAATAAATATCATTTCTAGAGATTTTATTTTGACTATAAATCACTATTTAATGAATTATTGGTGTAACCAAGAGGGCTCGCAAACCTCAGGGATTTACATGACGTCCCTATTAATGGCGATAAAATAGTTTTCAAGTTTTAAGTCAAAAGCATTTATAAATTGATAATTCTT